TTTTTTTTTTTTTTACTTCATTTACCTTTAGCTATTTCATAAATGCGACAAAAAGAAACTATAAATTTGTAATGAAACTTAGAAAAATTTATTTTCCCATAAAAAAATACGGAGTATTTCATGAATTTGCATGTCATCCCAAGGGCCATACTAACCTTCTCTGTATCATTCCATTTTTAGTATACGTGCAGCTGAAGCAGGTACTAGGATTTTTTTTTAATTTCTGCGAAGACTGTCATTGTTATTTTGATGGGAAGTACACCAAATATTAATTCTTCCGATCCATAAGCACAGAAAATCCTTCCATTTTTTTTATGCCCTCTTCAAGTTCTTTAATCAATGTTTTAATAGTTTTCTTTATAGTGATCTTTTCCCTTTTTGATTAAATTTATTCATATTTTATTTGTAGCTACTGTAAATGGGATTTCTTTCTTGGTTTATTTTTCAAATTGTTTACTACTGGCATATAGAGAACAATGTATACTACCAAAGTAGAAATGGGGATAAAATACAATTTTTATTTTTTAAAGAGTCTTAGCTTCTTATTACATGACTATCAGAAATCATGATTCCTTTTAGCAGCCTGTTGATAAAATATATGCTTGTTTATATAGATTTAATAATTATTTCCTGAATGTGACATGCCCTTTAAGACTTCAGAAACACCACTAAGCCCAAAAAATGATCCATGAAAGGAAAAAAACTAGGAAATTCTCTAGGGCTGTCAAATGCTATGAAAAAAAGATTATAAAGGTATGTGCCTGTACGTGTAACATGGGTGTGCACATGAATGAAAACGTGCAAACATATAAAACTTTTAAGCGTTTAAAATCAAAATTATAAATTCATTCTAAATGGATTTTGTAGATTTTTGAGTAAAGTTCAGTATAATACATTGCATTATGGCAAATCTGAAGTCCAAATTTAAAATAAGAAAGTAAAACCAAATTCATGCAAAAGATGCAAACTTTCCTACACAGTATCCATGTGCAGTTGGCAAAGAAGTCAAAGTCAAATATGGGCTAGATCTCAAAATACACAAAATACCACTACATCGTCCATGGAAAATCTGGATAATGGCAAGTTTCTACATTTTGCTCACCTAATAAATCAAGATGCCCACAGATTTCAAGATATTCTTAAGAGACTTTTTTTCCCTACTGGTTTAACAATTAGGTTTTTCACTTCATAGAATTCGCTATGCTAGAAATCTATTAATATAATGATTTATATTTTCTTGCCTTAAAAGCACAAGACTACTTACTCGCTCTATGACCTTGAACATGATAGTGACTTTTTAGTTTTCTCATTTAACAAGATCTACAATGAACTGTATCTATACATGTTACATTAAACTCAAGCTTACCACAGCTAAGCTCTTCAAACTAGCTCCGAAATTCTTATCTTTACAATTTGAGAGTAGATACAGATAAAGTTTTCATTCATTGCAATTAAAAAAAAATCTTAAATCCTAACATCCTACAGTTGTGACTTAAAACAAAACTAACAGAAAACCTCACCATCCCCAAATACAACCTGTTTTTATTGCTAAAGGTATTTTTAGACAGAGGAGTTACACCTAGTCAGATATGGAAGGGCAAATGAGTTTGGTCAAAAATCTGTCCTCTAAAATGAGTAATAGTTTAATATCTCTATTTCCAAAGCCCTGAGAATAGAAAAGAAGAAAGAAAGATGAGAAAGGAAAAGAGAGGGAAAGGGAAGGGGG